TCGTAGTTCGACAGCGTCTGGTTTGCCCTTTTCACGGCTACTATCCACGTTCTTGGACGAACGGAGGGGGCAAAAACGCATGAAAACTGATCTTCAAACCTTTCCAGACTCTCTTGGAACAGCCCCCGTCGCAGCATTTTGACGAGAAGGCAGGTTTTTTGTCTCGTTTCGTCCGAAGGAACACAGGAATGCCTGTCTGGCGCGGCGACTTCTGCAACCGCCCCAGACCGGAAGTGCGTCCGGCGCGCCACCACCGCGGTGTGACGTAGGAGAGTTGAGTTCGTGTATATACTGACAAAGCCTGGCAGATCACCACAAGAAGCGGCCGCCGAAATGGAAAAGGTGGAGCGGCACACAACGGATCAGAGGAGAGCCACGTGACTGGCGCCCCGCTGCGGCGAGACTCCCAAACACAGTTCTCCTAAGCGGACAAGCTTTTTGCGGGTCCTCGCCGCTGCAGAAGCTGTGCACTGACGTCTAGGTTCCCCGAGAAATGGCTCTTTGATGCACTGTGCTAGCAGACCGTCGCGCTCCAAATCTGCGACCGGGAACTCTATGGCTCTGTCGTCGAACTGCCAGGCTTTGTGAGCTTTGAGGAAGCTATGCTAACGCAATCGTACGCATAAAAAGCGCAGGATCGCCGCTCATTCACGGAGCATAATTTGGTTTAATCGGTGATGGCAAACGTGCAAAGACCACGAGGACCCGTGACGATGCACCTTCGACGCCGCTTGATTGGCGGATCATAACGTTGGCGGCGCTCGCCCTTGAAGTGAAGCGGAGTATAAAGAAATCGTTCGATGTTATTAACCGCTGATGGCTGACGCATGCGTATTGAAGTAGACCGTTGGCCGGACAGCCTGCCAACGCCGCCAGCGTGGCGGATTCCTGTCCGGTGCGGCAACGCGACGAGCGAGGTTGGCGGGGAGAAAGCGCGTATATTGCGGCGAAGAGTCCGGAGGCGCGAGTCGTGACGCGCAGCCCGAGGCCCAATTGGGTCGACGCGCTGCTTCCGTCGGAGAGCCGGCCATTATTCTGTCGAACCGGGATAATTGGGACGTGCGCGGGAGAGTCCCCGGTGAAGTCATCCATTGTTGGGGGGGCTTCTGTTTGACGCGTCGAACCTTCGGAACGGGAAATCCTTCGCGGCCGCCGGCTCCGACCAGTTACTCCCCGCCACACTTGGCAGCAACTTTCCCCGCTGACGAAGAACGGGCCGCCTGAACGGAGAGAGGCGTCTCGCCGTTGTCTCACCCTCCTTTTGTGTGCACTGCTCGACATTGTGATGCACGGCCGCCGAGTGATGTGAGCGGGAGATTCCACGTTACCAGGCGCGCGGCGAGAACCAGATTGCTTTCCTAGAGGAGCGAGAGATAATGTCGTGCCGTAGAAACATTGTAAGAAGATTTCGGCCCAACGCATGCCCTTCCCACTATTTACCAAACACGTTGAAATATACCAGAGGAGTTGATCGAAAGTCGAAATATACTCGAGAAGTTGATCCGGCCGGGTTTGGAGTTGGAAAAAGATTCAGCGAAACATTTGCGTTGTGGGGATTTTTTGCAATGGGGGGGGGGGGGGGGGGGGGGGGGGGGGGGGGGGGGAGGGGAGGGACAGTAATTTTGATTGTTTGTATCTACTCACCATATTAAATTCATCGCGCATGAATACAATGTTGTCTTATGTTGCCTTATGGTGTGTTGTCCCTCCCTCCCTCCCCCTCCCATCCCCCCCACCACACACACACACGAGTACATACATGCCCACACACACAACACATAAAACAGCGCATTTTCTTTTTATTCTGGCCCTCGTGCGGAACAATGACCATATATTTTATTTATTGAGAGGCAATCTTGAAGGAATGCTTTACTGATGAAGAGTCGAGCGTGGC